TAGTCGTGGTAGTAGTAGTATTAGTATTAGTTTTAGTAGTAGTCGTGGTAGTAGTAGTATTAGTATTAGTAGTAGTAGTCGTGGTAGTAGTAGTATTAGTATTAGTAGTAGTAGTCGTGGTAGTAGTATAGATCTTTTAGCGTATTGTTTAGCGTTCGTTTAGTGTACATCTTAGATCCTTATACACCGTTTCTTTTTATATTTTAGTTATTTTTGGGTGTAACTGGGACCTTGAGTACACAATTTCGTTCCACCTCATGCATCACACGTGATGCGAATGACAGTAAAGATACTTGAACTTGAAACTCTCATCCTGAGCAAACACGAAGGTGACAGTGGAAAGGAAAAACTCCCTCATGAGGAAGAAACGTCCAGCAGAGCCAGGCTCAGGACGAACGGCCATCTGCTTCGTTCGTGAATGAAGCTTTCTTAAATTACCTTAAGTTGTGGGTGGGAAAAGCGAACGTTTACGAAGGTACGGATGGTCTTACCCTTCAACACAGGAATGATGCACTAATCGTTTGGACACAAGTGTCAGTGTACCTCCTCGTTAGAACATGTTTAATTAATCTTAATTAATCTTAATGTTGGAATGGTTAGTTAATCAGACACGACTCCAGGCAGATCTAGAATAACAGATTGCTCCGTGTGCAGCCCCGGTGACGGGCTAATATTTTATTGTGATGAGTGAGCTCTAAGCTTTGGGCTCAAAGTGCCCAAACTTGACAGCTCATGGTGAAAACAAACACAAGCAGCTCATCTCAGCCTCCTCCTCCCAAACACTGTGCTCGTTTCAACCATTTTAAAGTTCTTCTGTCTGCTTTTAAAGCATTTAAGTCAAACTGCACAGAATATAGAAGATTAAACCTACAGAGAGGCATAAACGCATCATTAATTACTATAAACCTGCCAAATCTAATTTCCTAAATGACTTGTCCCCCGTGCACGGTATTTAGCGTTGCTATAAAAAGAGTTCAATCATCCCTAAAGTTGGTGCAGAAAGTGAATGAGCTCTGAGTGGCAACAGCCCTGTTCTCGCTGTGGTTTATGTTTATATGGCCGTCACGTCGTAAAAAATGTTGGGAATGATTGTGTTCGACATCGGGAAACATATAAAGTCCAAAGGTCATCCAAAGTTTAGTCCAGATATGTTGAGTTCCTTACTACAGACATCAAAACGGATCAACCAATCGGGCCCTCGTAAGATAACTAATCAGGAACACGCCTGTCTTACAATGCGACGCCGAAAGCAACTTCCTGGAAACTTCTGAGATCTTGTCACCGAAAATACGCTTGGATGGAAACAGACTTTGAAGGAATCGCAAAGGGCTCTACAGATGCTTACTTTACACGACGGTAGCAAACTCATGAGTGGGGTTGTAAAGAGAGCGGGTGCAGCGTAAAACACGGCGCGGTCCCTTTTTTTTTGGTCTCGACTGCACTTCATACGACGTCATTGTTCAGTTTGATGGTTGTTTGGCGTTAAGTGAAGGCGCTACAGCCTGCTCCGACACTCCAGAACCCATCACTGGAACTGGAACCACTCATCCGGTGTTTACCTGAACATTCGAGGGGATGCTGTTAATCAGAAAAGGTGTGGTGACCCTCGTGAATCAGCTGTCTGTGACGCAAGCTCACTGAGTGGGTTGAGCCTCATATGTACGCTCAATAGCATTTTGTAGGTGGAAATGGGGAGTGGAGGTGTGTGTGTGTGGGTGGGGGGGGGGGGGGGTCCACAGGAAACATCTGACTGTGCTGCAGATCAAAGAAAATTATTTAAAGGGAACTTGACCTTTACATATTCATCCTGAGCCTCTGACATCGGCTGAACCCTCCGGAGCTCTGACCACTTTGAATTAAACATTTACAGAAGCAGATAAATCCATTTGTATCCTGTTTTGTTAAAGAAGGACCGACGATGGCCACTGACATCACTGGAAACTAACAAAAGCAATAATAAGAACAGAATTAGTGAAAATCAGCCGTGTCATATCACACCATACGTTGTAATCTGAAGAGGAGGACCCCACATCGAGGCTAGGCCTGTCACAAATAACAAATGTTGTTGGGCGATTGTCTCAGAAATTATTGCGATAAATGATAATATTGTTTGAACTTTGACAAAACTAGTAATTATTGTCAAACTTAAGAAGAAATGTCTGCTCATTTGTTTTGTGTGTAGTACCTTTTTTCGACCACTGGATGGCAGTATAAGACAGTTTGAACCAAAGGATGGATAGTGCGGGAGCGAGCAGCGTGTCTCTTTAAGAAAAATGGGAGGGAGGCCCCTTGATGTGACATGGGCTTCAGGTCTCAAAATGGCGGACGATCTGTGTGGTTTGAGCTCCTTAGCATTTTTCACACAAATATTTTAAATTTTTTTTTTTTTTAAATCAGTAAACAAGTTCTCAGCTTCTTTTTGCAGATAAAAACAAGTTTTTATACAACGGAGGTTTTTTCCTCCAGAGGTCGGCCTGTTAGCTTAGCTCGTAGCTTAGCTGCTTTTAACGATCCAAAAACACGATTTTAGACGGTTAAAATGGATTTTAAAGAGAAAGGGCGGGGTCAGTGAAGAGCATCGGAGTCGAGTCTTTTGTCATCCAGTGTCTTCAGTAGAAAGAGAGACACACGAAGAACGATAAAGCCGATAAACGAAAACGAGGTCAATAATTTTCATTTATCATGCGATGGGCCGAGATGGTGTAGAGGCAGGGCAGCCGGCTTGGGACCCGAAAGTCCCAGGTTCGATCCCCAGTCACTGCACATCACGTGGTGTCTTTGGGCAGCACACCTCATCCCCAAAATGCCTCCCGGGCGCTTTCAATAGCTGCCCACTGCACCACCTGGTGGTGGATGGGTTAAATGCAGAGACTAATTTTGCCATTGTATGGAAACATACAGTGCTGACATTGTGATGACATTATTATTATTATTAACTGATTTGATTGATTTGATTGATTGTTTATCGTGACAGGCCTGACAGAGGCTGGAATTTGCCAAAATGCATATTGAGAAGCTACAAAGTTTCTGGGAGAACGTCTTTTGGACAAATGAGAAAAAAACTGGAGCTTTGTGTCAACAAGTCCCATCAGCTCTGCACATACAGTGAAACATAGAGGAGGCTCGGTTCTGGTTTGGGGCTGCTTTGCTCCATCTGGCACTGGGGGACCTGGATCTGAGCAGAGTGCAATGAAGTCTCAAGACTATCAAGGAAATCTGGAGCAGAATGTGCTGCCCAGAGTCAAAAAGCTCGGTCTCAGTCACAGGGCAGGGTTCCTCCAACCAAATAATGACCCAAAGCACAGATAAAAACACTTAAGGATGGTTCAGAACCAAACATTGGACTGTTCTGGAGTGTCCTTCTGAGCCCTGATCTAAATCCTGCTGAAGAAACATCTGGAGAAGGAAGCCTTCAAACCTGAGACAGCTGGAGCAGTTTGCTCATGAGGATTGGACCAGAACACCCGTGGACAGGTGCACAAGACTCGACAGCGAGTCATGGAAATCACTTGATTAATTCAACTGTGCAACAAAACGTTAAATTAAGGGGAGCATCCTTTTTACCAAAACCTATTTTCATTTTTAAATATTGATGTTGAATTAAAATTCAAATGCAGCGACTGATTTTTTTTGTTACGGTGTCAGTTTCAACGTACTTTTGCAGATTTGTTCAACATGAACATGCACATTTTGCCTCATCTTGATCAGCTCGAGCACTCGTCCATTTCAGGCTATTTTTATGATGTGTGGGTGCTACTGTGCGGACTATTCTCCCCTCTTTACTCTTAAATGCATCGATTCAGAGCTGTTACACAAGGCACCCCCCCCCCCCCCCCCCACCCTTCTGTCCTCCATCCTCCCACACCTCCACCTCACTGCCTACACACAACCTTGAGCTTGAAATCCTTTTCACCCGGCTCCTTTTCTGCAAAAAGTCAAAAACATCATCAGCTCAGCACTCACCCCGTGCCTGTGAGCCTGCTCGTTCAGAGCCTTCACCCAGGTCCTCTGCCAGTGCTCCCTGAAGGACTTGAAGGAGAACAGAGAGGTCAGCAAGCCTCTGACCCCCGCCTCAGACGTAGGACCTCCATCCTTTTTGCCAGAGCACAGCTTCAGCAGGAAGCCCCACACGCCCCCAGCATGGCGGCTCTGAGGGGTCTGGAAGAGCAGATGCTGATGCTGCCAGGCTGTCTGCTTGCCGCCATGCTTCTTGGCTGTCCTCCTGGATTTCCACAGCCGCAGCAGAGTGAGGGAATGCTGGATCAGCCATCTGAGCACAATGAGCAGGGAGGCTAAGAAGAGAGCCACCATGCAGAGCCAGCTGAACTCCTGCAGCTCCATCAGCGCCTCCTGGAGACTCTCATATCACCAGGATGGAAAGACCAGGACGCAGCTCCCCCCTGTAAAGCCTGCACATAATTATCTCACTTACTGACGTGTTTTTACACTCCAACAGATACACGAGGGTGGTTAACAGCCAAACTTTGTTGTTGTTTGTCGGTGTGGAAGCGCTCGATGTAAGAAAACTGCGCGGCGGTTACATAAAACACGAACAAACGATGCGCGTGGAGCTAACACGTAGCACAGGTGGAGGTGGAGGAAATGTGTCGGCAGCAGCTTTAAACTAACCTGAAGTTTAATTCAAACGGAGCGGGTTGTCGGCTCCTCCAGGTAACCGAAAGCGACTGAAGCTGGCATGGCGACACGGAGCGCTTCTAAATGCGAAACCAGTCCCAATCAACGCATCTCCGTCCGCTCAGAACAGCTCCTGCTCGCGTCTTTCCGCGGACATTTACTGAAAAAACACGTCTTGTTGTCTCTGTTGGGAATGTCCAGGCTCCGACGGGTTGAAAACGTCCGCTGTGTTTGCTCTTCTGCCGCTGCTACCATCTGTAATATTGACGCTTTGACGCTTTGACGCAGAGATCAGCAGCGGCCTGCAGGCGGCGCTGCGGGACCGGAAGAGACGAGCAACAACAACAACGCCTTCACAATAAAAGCAGATCGTGGTGAAAATCTACAGAAATAAAACCGTTTCCGTTGAATATTTTTTTTTCTAGGCTTCTCCCTTCTTCAGAGGTCGCCACAGCAAACTAAGTCCCACGAAGACTTGGCAGTTATTTTTACTCCGGATGCCCTTCCTGACTCAACCAGAGACCACCGAGCTACCACAGCCCTCTGTGTGGAGCAGAGAGCTGCTATCTAGAGCGCCTGGGGAGCAGAGGGTGGAGGTTAAGGGCCTTGCTCAGGGGCCCAGAGTGGGGCAGATGATGGTGGAGGCAGGTGTGGGTGCTTCGCCTATCCCACCCACATTTTGATGTTGTCGGTACCAGGAGTTGAGCCAGCAACCTTCCGATCACAGGCCCACCTTCTCTTAACGTCTGCGTCACCACTCCCATGTCACCTGAATAGTTTAACTAATCAAATATACAGTTACTAATTCATAAATACAGATAGCTACTAAGTTTACAAACAGAACAAATGGACGGACAAAAGCTGTGAGGACACTTAAAAAAGAGTCTTTGTTGCAAAGAAGTATCAAAGAGAAACTCAAAGAAAAGTCAGGATGAAGGAAATGAGTGGCTTTTAACCACCAAAATACATTAAAGACTGGTTCATCCCAAAGATCCAGTCCCCCGGCACAAACAGAGTAATGTTGTGTATGATGTTCAGTGTCAGGAGGGTGATCAGTCTTACATCGGGGAAACTAAACAGCCACTGGCCAAAAGGATGGACCAGTACAGAAGATCAACATCATCAGGCCAGGACTCTGCGGTCTACACTCATCTCCAGGCCAGCGGTCACTCGTTCAGGGATGAAGATGTTCACATCCTGGACAGAGAGGAACGATGATTTGAGAGAGGAGTAAAGGAGGCCATCTTTGTGAAAAGAAACCGTCCATCATTAAACAGGGGTGGAGGCCTCCAGGTTCAACTGTCCCCCTCTTACAATGCTGTGATTGCTGGTATCACTCAACCCCCTGTGAATAGCAAACAGCCATCAGGTGCTAATGATCAGCTGATGGTACAATTTTTGCATGTGAACAACTAGTTTTGGCTGTTTCCAGCAAGCTGGTTGATCCACTACAGGTGCTGCTTATAAGACTGCGTTTGTTGTGGCTCCTCAGACTGAAAAAGTCTTCTGGATAAAACACAAACCATTTCAACAAACAATTAAAAAATGTGTCCAGAGAATCTGACTCAACCTTGTTAGAAGGTCTTACCTTCATAAATTAAAAACCCTGGTTACATGATTTTGTGTGTATAATAAACGTACTTAAAATGTAAAATAAAAACATAAAAGCTCCAGTGTAAGTGAAGTAAAACAGCGTTTCATGTCACAAGGTCAAGGTTTCTAATTATTGTCATTCACATGTGATACATGTGGTGGAACAAAACAGTGTACAGAGTCCCAGTTATCCAACAAAAGTATAAATTGTAAAGGAAAAACAGTAATAAGATCCAAGCTATGTACTAAGAAAAACACTAAACTAAGAAATACACTAAACATTTAATAGTGCATAAATAACAAACGCTATATAAACAATAATCTCACTGTATTTCGGTAAAGCTTATTCTGATACTGATTCTGACAATAAGCCGAACAACAGCAGCACGAACATGAGTGTGTGTGAGCTGATGAGCATGAACGAATACAGCAGCATGACATAAATCAGCAGCATGAGATCAGCAGCATGGGTATATCGACAATCAACAAACAATATCAAGATGTTGTCAACTGCAGCATGTGAGGTAACTAAAATATAAAAAATAAATAACAATAAATTTTGTCAGTTGCATTACATTTGTTCTTTTTTAAATTTCATGCCTACCTGAGTAAAGTACTTGAAGCATAAAACAAAATAATGAAAGCTGTATTAAGTTTGGCCAGCAGAGAGAAGTAAATTTGAATTTGTAGGAATATCAAGCGAAGAAGAAGAAAAAGTCATTTCCGCGTCAAGCTTCTATTACGTAGTTATGCATTTAACTTTTTCGGAAATTAAAGCGTAATTCTTTTTAATGTGTGATTAAGAGGAACAAAAGCGTTAAATAATAAAACATTCAATAAAAGCAATAAATATTGGATCTTATAATGTATTCACCAAATATATTCAGCGTTTCCTGTTTTTGCCAGGTCACGAAAAGTCAGTTATTTATTTTATTTTGAAGAGCCACACCGGAAACATATTTCCGTTGGCCGTAATGGCTGCAGCTTGACGGTCAAACTGTTAACAGACGTGGAGTTAGACAGCTCATATTTTGAAATATGGCTCACCAGGTAGTCTTACGGGCTGACTTTGCTTCGACCGAGAAACACTGTGGACTAAAAATGACGGCATGACGCGTTGTTCCTTCGCTTGAACCACAACAAAGCTTCCTCCTTGACCATTGTCAGTGTGAAGGGACCACGTCAGATTTTTGTAAAACCTTGATTTGTCATCAAAATGCCTGGCAACATGTCACCGGTGCCCACCGTCCCGCTGCTGATCAACTGCTTCATGTCTGCTCTCGGCTGTTTGGCTACTCTCAAACTCATCCCCGCTTTTAAAGAGCATTTTATCTCAGCTCGACTCTACGGAATGGACCTAAACAAAACGACCAAAAAGGAAGTGTGAGTTGTTTTGACTCTTTATGACACATCTCTGTTGGTTGGTGATTTGCTCTCACGCTGTTTGTCTTCCTGCCCATCCTGGTTTGCAGGCCTGAGTCTCAAGGGGTCATCAGCGGGACGGTTTTCCTCATCATCCTCTTCTGCTTCATCCCAGTGCCTCTCCTCAGTTGCTTTGTGGGCGATCAGTGCACTGGTTTCCCTCATGATGAGGTGGGTTAAAAGGGTCAGAACACCAAGGTTGCATCTCATGTCTGATCTGCTTCTCTGTCTTTTTTAAGTAGTTTGTACAGCTGATCGGTGCACTCCTGGCCATCTGCTGCATGATCTTCCTGGGCTTTGCTGATGATGTGCTGAACCTGCGATGGAGGCACAAGCTCATGCTCCCCACCATGGCCTCCCTGCCGCTGCTCATGGTGTACTTCACCAACTTCGGCAACACCGTCATCGTGGTACCCAAGCCCTTCAGAGCTCTGCTTGGGCTCCACTTGGATCTGGGTGAGTTGGTTGCAGCGTTTGGTGGTGAGGCGATAAACGGCCTTCCATCGCATCCCCTGCTTCTTTCTTTTAAGGACCCCTGCTCCCTCCTAAAAAAATAAAAAAAACAATTCCCAATGTTTGACTGAACTCACTTTTTTGCGGCTTTTGTTTTGGAATATGATTGATCACAGGAAAACTAGTTTGAAAAACATCTTTCGTTCCTGTTGCTGAGCGAAGAGGGAAATTCTAAATGCCCTCCGTCCGTCTTGTGAGCTGGCTAGCTTGAAAAATTAAAGAGGTACCAATTTGCATTTTGGTGTGTGGCTGCATCCAGATGTAAGAAAGGTCACTATTGGAAATCCAAGATGGCCACCACCATATATAAAGCAAATGATCAGGGAGGCTGAAGATTAATCTATGGTGAGGTGATCCTGGCTCCACTGCTGCACATGGCGGTGGATAAAATTGCTCCCTCTGCTCACCAGGATCCGCCTCAGACAGTTACAAAAAAACCAAGCCTACCTCTGTTCTTCTACACAGTGGAACTATTACCTACGTAAATATCTTGCACCAAAAAAAAAAAAAGGGGGTTACTTGCATTTCCTGTTTAATTCCAGTCCAAACAGTTCCACTTGTTCATGCGTTTCTTTTTGCAACATGGTGTCCTGCAGGTGTTCTGTACTACGTCTACATGGGCATGCTCGCTGTGTTCTGCACGAACGCCATCAACATCTTAGCGGGCATCAACGGCATCGAGTCGGGTCAAGCCCTGTTCATCTCCGGCTCCATCATCATCTTCAACCTGCTGGAGCTCAGTGGTAGGTCGCTTGTCTTCGTCGGCGTTGCACATCTCGCTTTCCTCGCTGCTTCCGAGTTCAATATTTAATATTTGATTAGAAAGTCTGTTTGCAGCCGTAGTTTTTCATCCGAGGAGATACAGATGTTAGGTTTTGACATGAGTTGGGAATGTTTTACCATGTACGTCTTCAACTAGTTGAGCATTTTTTTAATATAATTTCTTCTCTTTATTTTCAGGTGATTACCGTGACGACCATGTTTTCTCCCTCTTCTTCATGATACCCTTCTTCTTCACCACATTAGCACTTTTTTACCACAACTGGTGAGTTGAACCTCCAACCCGAAGCACTTAATTCAAAAAGCATTTTCATTATGTTCATGTTGATGTGTGTAAATAATTTGTTAATTTTGTGACAGGTATCCCTCGTCTGTGTTTGTGGGAGACACGTTCTGCTACTTCGCCGGGATGACCTTCGCTGTGGTTGGCATCCTGGGCCACTTCAGCAAAACGATGCTCCTGTTCTTCATTCCTCAAGTGGTTAACTTCGTCTACTCTCTGCCTCAGCTTTTTCACATCATCCCCTGTCCCCGGCACCGGCTCCCCAGGTAACTCATTTCTTCTGTAAATGATGCTAAATTTACAGAGAAGTCTCAGGATGTGTAGATGATCATCTCTCAGGTTCTGTTTCAGGTCCTTATTTAAAAATATATATATATATTTTTAAAATTTCTCTTAATCTGCTGTGAACAGTTTTTAAACCTGGCAATTTTTATGGCCTCCATTTGTCCACTTTTCTCTAAGTTTTAACTTTGTCGTGAAAAAAATCTCAAACTTTTTCAGCTAACAGCTCAATAACGGTCACAAAAGTACTGTTTGATGCCCATCAAATTGTATTTTTGTCAATTCTAGTACCAAACCCTGAAACAAATGTGTTTTGCATTAGCTAGCCAGTAACAAAGAGATTGTTTAAATAACTTTTATTTCTAAGAGTCTTGATGCATTTCGAGAAAACATGATTTATTCCTTGAGTTTTAGTGCATTTTCATGCACGGTCAAATTTAAGATCTGTCCAAAAATGATAAAACCTAAGGACTTTAATCAAATGGAGAAAAACATAGCCACTGATTTAAGAAAAACGTTCAGAAAATCTCTTGCTCACGGCCATTTTGATGATTAAAAACAGTTTTAGGCCTTTATAAGCAAAATCTTATAAAAGAGCAGTGGCTTAATCTATTGTATTTTATTTATTTGACCTTTTTCTTTTGAAGGTGAAATGTTTGACAACCAGTTCTCATTTAGAAACGTCGCCTGGAAAAGAAATCCTTACATCAGTAAATAATAAATGTCATATATATTTTTGTTTTTTTACATTTTCTTTTTCTTTTTTTTAATTCCTATTGAAAGACTAAATCCAGACACCGGCAAACTGGGGATGAGCTACTCTAAATTTAAACTAAAAGACCTGTCAGGATTGGGACACCTCATTCTGAAGGTAAAACTCTCACGGCACATTTCTTTTTTTTTAATATGCTGACCGTTGTGTTAGAGATGCAGACACCTGGATTATTAACTTCTTTTTTTTGATAACAACAATAATTGTGAATAGTTCTGGCTTCATGAAGACTTTCCTCCCCTCACTGTAATTGTATAACTTGATCGTATGCAGTCCCATTTTTTGATTTTGATGCATAAATTTTGCAACATATATATATATATATATATATATATATATATATGTTGTCTCTGTCATGAGAACCAGATTGTGCCGGTGAATAAAACCGAGTGCTAGATATAATCCCACAGCTGTTGAACTGATTTATTAGCCTCAATATCTTGATTTTATTTGCTTCAATTCAAAATCTGGACCCACTGTAGCAGTTCAGTTTTTATGAACCAGTTGAGCTTATTGTGCTGATTTTATTATTGTAAAACCGGCTTCAACAGGTTGCAGAGTTCCTAAAGCTGCTCGAGGTGCGTCGGGGTCAGGGCGAGGACGAGGATTTCGTTGAATGCAACAACATGACTTTAATAAATCTGGTTCTGAAAGTACTCGGTCCCGTCCACGAGAGAAATCTAACGGTCATCATGCTCCTCATACAGGTACACAAAGCACCTGCTGTGTTCAAACCCAACACTGTTAGTCACATTTCGCCTTTATTTCTTGTTTTAGGTGATGGGGAGCGCAGTGGCTTTTGGGATTCGTTATCATCTGGTGCGTCTGTTCTATGACGTCTAACCGGACCTCCATTAAAGAGACGACTGACGGAGAAAATCTCTTGCTGCTGCGGAGGAATTTTCAAAAAGCTTATGAGCAGATACTATTAGCTCTCTGTCCTTTCTCTGACTCTGTCTGCAGCATTTTGTGTGTAAGGGTCTGACAGCAGCAGAAATGGGTTTCGGTTTTAACCGCAGTGAACGCAGCTGGGTGGTAAATTTATTGGATCCATCTTGAAAGTATATTTTTGTACTTTTTTAAAGTAAAGTAAGAGGATTAACGTTTGTCAACTCAGCCATTGTTCTGGCTACATTTCTCCAGTTTGTTACCATTTGATTATAGATGTGTGAACATTTAAGCCCACTTTGCAACATGATGATGCACTGCGTTAAAAAGATGTTGAGCTTTCATCATCTCTGAATGCCTCAGAACAAACTCCCAATGAATGATCATTTTAACTGAGAGAGAGAGAGGTCAAATAAATCTCAGGTTGATGGTTGCAGGTAAAAAGAAAAGTTATTAAAGTAGAAAAAGAGCTAATGATGTCTAGATTGTTCTAAAAGTAAAGCTTTATGGTGTTTGAAGGTGTCTTCACTTTCTGAAAGGGTTTAGCTGACATTTCGAAATGAACTGGCACCAAACCTTTTCAGTTTCTCAAGGAATGTAATTATAAGAGGAAACGCTGTGTATGCTTGAAATTGATTATATAAAATGTGAAATAAATAAAATTAAAAAGTATCCGCTTTCATTATTATTGTTTGGACTCGACTGGGATGATGTCCCACTGAACAACTATCGACCAATTTTTCAACTCTGCATTTTAGCCAAGGTTCTACAAAAACTGATAAAACTCTCAAATCAGAAAGTATTTGGACTCATTTAACATCTTACCTCCATCAGTCTGGTTTCAGGAAACAACACAGCACAACGACTGCTTCACTGAAGGTTTTTAATGACGTTGAAGCATTGGATGCTAAGGATTATTGTGCTGCACTTTTCTTAGACCTATCTTTCAGACCGAAGGCAATGTGTTCAACATAATGGTACTTCCTCCAGTTATTTAAAAGTCAACAATGGTGTACCATAAGGCTCTGTATTAGGACGCGCCCTCTTTACAATCTTCATAGGTAAAGTAGGTCAGAGCATCCTTAATGCATCCTTACATTTCTATGCTGATGATAGTTGTTTATTGTCGAGCTAAAACAGTTGTTACAGTTCTTTTTCAGAAATAGATCCTGTCTAACTGAATGCTAGGAAACGCCTTGTAACTGCAACTTTCCTTCCCTCCATTGACTATGGTGACATATACATGAACACCCCCACAAGCACTCTGCAGATGTTGGATGTTGTCTTATCACAGCACTAAGATTTATAAATGTCTAACTACCGTACCCATCACTGCACCCTGTATTCACTGGTTAACTGGACATCATTAACTTCACGCAGACTCTCTCACTGGTACATTTTCATCTTTAAATCACTTCTTGGTCTGCTGCCTTCATACATCACATGTCTCTGTGTGAGTGCAGCTACAGCGTGCACTCTCAGGACATTATTACATGCAGTGTTCCTTCAGTGCGGACTGAACTAGGCAAAAGGGACTTTACTCCGCTCCTGTTTCCTGGAATATCTTGCAAAAAGACCTGAAGCTCTCAACCCTGACCTCTCAAAGTGACTTTATCTGCGAAGTTCCTGGGAAAAACCAACACAGACATGCTCCTGTTTTTAGTTTTCTACACCTCCCTACTACCTAGCTGTTTTTATGTTATTTTCCTTTTAAATACCATTTGATTTTCACTTGTTTAAAAAAAATCTCAATTTGTATGCATCCTTTGATTGTCCATTATTGTCTTTGTTATCCACTGTTGTCATCACTCTGTTAAAATCAGGTCTTTCTTGTAAAGAAGTCCCCGAGGCTCAATGGGATAAACCTGTATAAATAAAGGGTGAATGAATGAATGCGTTGATCTGAACCAGATCAGATTTTGTTAGTAAATTAGAAAGAAAAAAAAATTCCATGGTTACAAATATTAAAACGGAAGCGATTTCATGGTGTGAAGTTTTGTTTCAAAGTTTAATCCAGGAAGAGGTATTTGATTCTCCTACTCCACATTTATTTAATTATATTTTTCTGAAAGGTAGGGGGTATATAAGTATAAAGCAGAAGGGTGAATGCTAACATTTATTTTACAATGAAGTGATTTACTTTCTATTTTTTCCTCTCCAATAATATAATTTGTATTAATTCTGAAGTTGCGTTAAAAATACTATCAAAAGTAGGAAAACACATTTCTTTAAGTAGATTTTTGAAATTAATGGCAAAAAAGTGTCAGATTTATGACTCATCCTTTGTGCAAGTTTATTTAATTTGGTAAAATCAATTGTTTTGCTGATATTTTTTAATCAAATCACATAACATTATTATTATTTTTTTTAAGATTATTTTTATCTTAGGTTCAAAAGCCAAATTAGCCCCAAGTAAAGTAGGGGCGCTAAATAAAAAGTATATTTTTTTCTATTAATTTACGCTGAATTATTATTTTCAATGCACAGAGACACAGCTATTATTTATTCTAGCCTTTAAAATTAATTAGTTACCTTCGTGTTTCAGATTAATATGAAATAAAAAGTAAAGTTAAATATACTTGCCAGAAATGTCATATAACAGAAATATGCAATAGCCTGAGATGGAAATAAAATACAAACATTTTACCACAATACTGTACTGTCTTGACTCAGTAAAACGTAGTGCACCCGGAACTATTAAACTCGGCTTTGTTTCATCCGGTGTTTTATTGAGTTACACGAAAACCGCGTAGAATTGATTCCGACTACCAACTAAATAATCAGATTTAATTATCTAATGTATACATTTCGTTTGTAAATATTTGTCACCTGGTGTAATATGTTTAGTTTTATTTTAGATACAGCTGCTAAATGTTTCAGAGACTTGTTTTTTTTTTTTTTTTCAGTTCCCTGCTGCTCTGAAACATCAACGCTAACACATTAGCTTTGTTGCCGATTAACTTTGTTTTAGAGATGCCTCCTAAAAAGCGCGTCCAAAAGAAAGCTCTCCAGCTGGGTTGTGAATGGGCTTCTTGCCAAGAATCCTTCAGTCAGATGGAAAACTTCTGTAAACACGCAGAAAGTCATCTGTCAAGTCCGGAGGAAGGTGAAGAAGCAGGAGAAGGTGAGTTCATCACGGCCTCGTGAAGCAGTAAAACGCCTTGTTAATGCTCTGTTTTTGTTTCGGTCCAGAGGAGAGGAGCTGTCTCTGGAGAGACTGTGGTTTCTGCTCTGTTGATGGGTTTGAAGAACTTCGACGACACCTCCTGTTCCACTGTTACCACACCAAGCTGAAGCAGCTGGGTCAGCAGGTCCTAGATGCTCAGCCTCCTGAGCTGGGCAGCTGCTCCATCGCCTACCACAACCGCAACGTCATCCCAGACATCCCCGACAACTTCATCTGTCTGTGGGAGGAATGTGAGGTGAGACTCAGACATTTCAAGCAGTGGCTGCACTTTCTGATGCTGAGCACAAGATTTCATCTGCTCAGTGGTTTTTAGTTGTCGTTTGAGCCTTCATTTTCATTAGATGAGACAAACGCACATTGTTCTGTGTTTCTAAGTCTCCACACTGTTGTAAGTCGTACAACACAAAAATAAAACAAAGGCCATAAATTATTTTTTTTAATGCAGGTGCAGTGGATAGAGCTTGAAAATTTGAAAAGCTTGATACGATATTGGTGAAGAAATAAGGAAGTTATTGCAGCTTTAGTCTAAAAATATTTGCCTAATTGTCCCCCATCGCAGGGTGAATAAGGGGAATTGAAAATACCTTCCATTTGTCTTGTGAGCATGATGACTTGAAAAATAAGTGAGGCTCCAACTACCATTTTGGTGTGTGGTTGTGTCTATGAGTTAATAAGGTCACTATCAAAATTTGATTGCCATGTCAAATCCAAAATGGTCACCGTCATATATGATTACAAACCGACCTCCTCGACCATTAGAGCAAACTATGCTTTCTAGTTTTTGATTGCTTAAAAGTATAGTGACCAAGGCCAACTGGGCAACCCCTGGCTCCACCCTTGCACCTGGTGTTGAACAAAATTGCTCCCTCCACTCATCGAGATCCATCACTCTGCACCACCTAGGACAAGCGACAACAAAAAAACGACCTCTATTCTTCTACCCTCTTGAATATCTTGCACCAAAAACATTAAAGTTTATTTGCATTCTCTGTTCAATTCCAGGCCAGAAAAACACTTATCTCCAAAACTACAAAAAACATCCACTAATCAAATCCCTCAGTGACGAGGGACATCAGCGTATGACTTGTTTTTCTTTGGTTTATCCTTGAAAACCCAAACACTTGCGATCGAGCTGCAGCAAATATCAAATTAACATAAATGTCTTTATTTCTTGAGATAATTGGATGGAATTTTCAGAACAAGTAGGAGGAAATATCCTGACTACCTATATTCATTATGAAATAATTAGAGAACTATAAACTGTATGATCTATAACTGTTAAGACTGCAAACAAAATGGGCACTAATAGCTAGATGGAAAGAAATTAAACTAATCAAGTCCCAAGAGAAACCAGTTTTGCATGTGCCATGACAGAGCATCCATCAGTCATATGTTCAGGCTCTCAAAACCACGTTCTCCACATCAGATTGTTAAGAAAGTCGGTCAGTATTCAGATAAAATATTTTATTTTGGTATTGTCTGCATTTGACTGAGTACTGTGAACCCTAACATGCTTTTAAGCTTGTTGAACTAGTAGAGCAACATTTTCATCACCCATGAAATGCATAAAGATATGCGAGAATCCATCCAGTCTTATACACACTATGCACACCACTAACATACACTGGTGGAAGCACACATCAGCCGTGACGTGGGGATTGTCTTGTACGTATTCATACACCTTCTATAATACCAGTAGCTAAAAACCCCTACAGAGCTACAACTCTTTGAGAATTTCTCTCTCTTCAGGATCCCTTTACCTTGACACTTACCAATTCATCCTCATGGCGTCACAGTTTCTGGCGTTTTAATCTTTTATTGGGGTTTTATACGTTTTTATGTTTATTTATTTATTAACCTTTATTTTGTTTTATACGTTTTTATGTTTATTTATTTATTAACCTTTATTTAACCAGGAAAATCCCACTGAGATCACAAATCTCTTTTGACTTGGACCTGAAGGCAACCTAACATGCCTGTTTTTAGACTGTGGGAGGAAATCGGTGTACAAAGAGAAAGCCCACACAATCACAAGGAGAACATGCAAACTCCACACAGAAAGACTCCAGGTCCAAACCAGGGATTGAACCAGGACCTTCTTTCTGTGAGGCAACAGTGCTAACCACTGAGCCGTTGTGATTTACTGATGACACTGTGGCTCAACATTCTCACATTTAAACCAAACATCTGTTGTTGTTTTTTCAAAGGCAAACTCAAAAATCTGAGCACAGAGCACCTGTCCACCATCTCTGTCTATGTGATACAAGACCTCAGCAACATTTCAGAGTGGAGTTAATGCGCAGTATGCATAGTATTTATATATATATTTTATTTATATTTTCTTTGTGTAGTACAGTTTCAGGTTGCATTGCTGGATGCAGCAGCAGTGTTGAAGGTTTTCTGAGTTCCTGTTGTACAACAGTTAATCATGCAGTGCATCTGAAGAATACACACATTCAGTAGAGGTTATTTTTTATTCTTCCTGGCACTGAAGCACTGAGATTTCATCAGAATCTAAATATTTTTGCAAATTTACTAACCTACTGAAAATGTTGTAAATTTTTGTTGTTTTTGTTGAGAACTATTTCTTTGCAATCGTTCTAGTAAAATGGGCTGAGCCTTATCTCCTCAGTTTAGGAATAATATAAAATTAACTTTTGATGCAGTTGTTTGCTTTTTTACTTTTTATTCTTTCATATTTTTCAGTGTTTCCTTAAACAAGTTTAAAGGTTAACAAATTGGTGCTCATGTGTTAAATATTTAAACAATTTATCAAAGATAAATGCCTCTAAAAAAAAGTTTTCCAGTGTTTATGAACACAATGTCAAACTGAAGCAGGAAATAAAGTGGAAATAAAATGTTGCACGATAACACACTATCAATCGGCTTCAATTTTATATTTAAACTAATGTTTTCCTCTGGTTTCATCGTTCTGTCCACTTTTGTCAAAGCAACCACCGTATGAAAACCCTGAGTGGTTTTATCGCCATGTGGAGATGCACACGCTGTCCATCGAAATACCAACCGGAAACTCTGAGATCCCAGTTCGCTGTGGCTGGAAAGGTATTAACGCTCCAAAGAAGGGTTTATATTCGTCTAGCAGAAGTTCGGCTGTGGTTTAGCTCATTGTCTGTCGTCGTTTCAGATTGTGAAGCGACAGCTAAAGGTCGCCCCAAGCTGCGGGAGCACCTGCGCAGCCACACTCAGGAGAAGGTCGTGGCGTGTCCAGGCTGCGGGGGCATGTACGCCAACAACACCAAATTCTTTGACCACATCATCCGACAGAGCGCTATGGAAGGTAACATCTGGCAGAGCAAAGACGGGAAGTAAATGACTGAAACGTTTGACTCTGTGTGTGTTGTAGGCCAGAGGTTTCAGTGCTCTCACTGCTCCAAACGATTTGCAACAGAAAGACTTCTGAGGGACCACATGAGGACCCACGGTCAGTTCGTGCACCGTCGCTCTGTAACTTAGTCGCTTCTTATAAAATTTTTTTAAAAACATTTCGTTTATGTGGGGGAGGGAATCGTGTTATTAAAACCAGCTTCATTAATATCTATGGACTTTAATCCAGATGTTTCTCTGTCTTTCCTGTGTTGAACCAGTAAGCCACTACAAGTGTCCTCTGTGTGACATGACCTGCCCGTCGCCTTCTTCACTGCGCAGCCACATCAAGTTTCGCCACAGTAACGAGAAGCCGTACAGCTGTGAATACTGTGAATACAGGTATGACTGCCTGCAGCAGTACAAACTAGATAATAACAAAGATAAATACTCAAGTTGTCTTTTTCTTTTTTATCCGCCCGTCGAAAGGCGTGATGGATTACTGTATAGTCTACATCGCATGTGTCAAACTCAAGGCCCGCGTGCCACGTCATTTTATGTGGCCCGCGTGAGCTTAAAAGGTCTGATAATCGTATAATAAATGTCAAAAGGGTGCATTGACAGCAGACTACATTTCCCATAAAGCATGCCGATTATGTTACTCGCGAAGTAACAGCATCCCACCACTAGATTGCAGTTTTTCCACATCAATACCATTTTCCGAACAAATGAAATTGAGAAATACAAATGATCCCAAAATGTCCAGAAATAGAAAAGTTGATGCCGATGGAAGGCTGTTTCAAGAAAGATGGAAAGTGTTTGTGCTGCAAGGAGAGAAACCGTTATGTCTTTTGTTTTATGAGGCAGTGGTGGACGTCTGAGTACAATCTATTCGGCATTTTGACACCAAACATGGAGCTAAGTATGACAAAGTGAGCCTTCAACCCTAATGTTGTTATTTTGAGTTTATTATACTCGTTGAATGTCTTGTATTATATTATGTTAAATTTGCAGCAGTATTGAAGGTTTATGTGTTTATGCAGGCAAATGTTTTCTATAATAAAACCATGTCTCATGAGTTGGATGTATGACTCTTACCAGGCTGTGTGCAGCCATTTGTTTTTTGTAAAAGGCTACACCTGTCACATGTTTTTAGCAACTCACAATTATTGGATGGACCGTTATTCTGCCCCTCTTAACTATGACTAAAAGTTATGAACAAAATTAATGTCATAACTTGTTATTTTTCCTTATTCACTTGGAAAGTTTGATAATTGATTTATGGAGTAATGTGGGTTTCATAACCTGGCAAATTAAAAGGTTTTATGTTATAACAGAGCAACAAGCAGACATAATTTTCAACATCTATGCAAAAATAAAATTATATGTATTTGTAATGTAATGTATAATAGTTTGTCAACGGGTATATAATGTGTCGTATGCGATACTCTTGTTTTTCTTTCAAATAGCTGTAAGAATCTGATCGACCTGCGTAAACACCTGGACACCCACAGCAGTGATCCTGCGTTTCGCTGTGACGTGCCTGGATGCAGCTTCAGCTGTCGCACGCCCAGCACCATGAAGATTCACCAGCAGAAGGAGCACGAGGTGATTGTTGAACTCATTGCAGACACGCTCTCACATGAGCAAATCTGACGTTTGCTGCAGCAACAACACGTCACCAGATCCTATTTTTACACAACAATGTGATTTCCCACCCCCCCATAATCAGAAGAGTTTTACAGCTCGCTACAAGTGTCACGTGTGTGGTCAGTGTTTCACCAGAGGCGACAGCCTCACGATTCACCTGCACAAAAAGCACCAATTCAAATGGCCCTCTGGACACCCCCGGTTCAGGTTAGTGTCTAGCACCTCTTGGTTTTCATGTTGCGAACCATTACAGCTCTGACGGACTTGTATTAACCTGCCAGGTACAAAGAGCACGAGGATGGCTTCATGCGACTGCAGCTGATTCGCTACGAGAGCGTGGAGCTGACGGAGCAGCTCATGAGAGAAAAGCAGAAGAGGCGAGCGGAGAATGGCGACGACAACGGCGATAGTAACCACGCTCAGAGCCAAGAGCTGGAGGAGGAGTCTGCCACGGTGTCGGCTGCTTCAGAGGTGCAGGAGGAGCTCAGAGGGGTGCTGCTGGAGGAGCAGAGGACTGAGGAGCCTCAGGAGGGGGACATGCTGTGTGTCCTAACAAAGGACTCCATTTTAATGCAGCTTCAGGATACAGCGCAGCAGCAAGGGAAGCTAGTGGACTGACTTAAACTCATCTCACGCATCACAAAACCAATCAGCCGTGTTGCTGAGCAGACGAATGTGGAGTTTGAGCCGTTATGAATACTCCATGAGGATCCTTCTTCGTAACCATATAAGCCTATGTTAGGTAATGCTTTTATGTGATGTTAATGATCATGTTTTTCTGATATTTAAATTATGCCGTTTTTAATATCTTCTTGATTTGTTGTAACATTTAAAGCAGAGAAGTCACAGAAAAGGACGTTTTCCACTTTAACCCAAAAGTACTGAGAGCAGCAATCAGGTTGATCACACTTTAATCTGAAACTTGAATAAACATTTGGATCATTAGTTTAAGTCAGTTTGGTTTTTGTGTTTGCTTGTTTTTTTTATGTTTGTTTTTATTTAAAGATTTCCTGACAAAAGAAATCACTACCTGTCAAGTAGGTAAATTATTTCATTTTAAGCTTTAAACGGAGGCTGGCCCTTTAATGTTGATGAATCACAAATCTTCCCAAAACAGCATCAACGCCTCCTAAAAGATCTATTTACATGTTTAGTAATTATAATTTTCTTGCTCATGAACTTTTTTTAGAAAGCTGCACAAGATTTTGGCTGTATTTGATCATTTTTTGTATTATAGTATAGAACCATAAATCAGACGGGACACTGGAAACCCTTAAATTGAGATCCACGTGTGATTATGCCACCGAGCTTTCATTTTGACTCTTCTGCCTAAACGATGTAGTGATGCTGTAAGATATTAATAAAGAATTGAATCTGCTGGACCTCTTAATGAATATCCATTTTCTTTTCCATTCAGGAGACAGGTCGCATATCTCCATCAGTAACTGCCAGGTACACTGGACGGGTCGCAGGCCCATCACACGGCTGATCTAGAGCCATCTTCAATTAAAACTGAGCAAAGACACAAACAGCTTTTCTCTAGCAAAGGTCCACAATTGAAATAATAAAGTTCCTTTTTAGTGACAGTCAAGTTTTATACTCGCCATATTATGTTTCAAAGTGTGGCCTCAAATTACAGAATCAAAGATGAATGCTTTTTTTTAAAGATAATGTAATGCAAAACAAATTGCCACTAATATGAACCATTGAGATATTTGCTTTTGCAGTAACAGGAAGCGATGTCAAAGAGGAGCACCTGCATGTAAACAGAACATTGGTACAGGCGATAGAGAAGAATTTGATGTTTCTTTAGATTATTTTGAGTTACAGAGAAACAAAGAAGAAAAGTCGGAGTTCAAATAAAACTGTTTCAATCAAGAAAGTCCAGATGTCACTTCCTGTTTCACTTTGGTCACATCCAGTTCTAAACAAAATATAACGGTTATGTGACAAAATGGGTAAAATCACGTGTATTGTGCCAAATTTCCTGAATAATAAAAAGTTTTCTTCCACTTTTTGTATTTATAGGACATGCATGGCACAAGCAGGGCCTGTTCCATTACCGTAAAACCTGCTCCGTTTAAAATGGATTACCATAGAATGAAGAGAAGCTGCAATTCCTACAAACAAATGACT